GGCGGGCTGGTCGCCCCCGGGGCGCCCGAGGGCCCGGGCCGAGTCGGGCCGAAGCTGCTGGTGCTGAGCGCCCTGGCGGAGAAGCTGCTGCCCGAGCCTGGCGCGGAGCGCGCCACCGCGGCGCGCGAGGCGGACCCGGACGCCCGGCGCAGCTGGCGCTTCTGGAGGACGGTGCAGGCGGGGCTGACCCGGGCCGAGGACGCCCTGACGCGCAAGCGGGCGCGCTACCTGCTGCAGCGGGCGGTGGAGGTGTCGGCGGAGCTGGGGACCGACTGCGCGTGCGCCCCCCAGGAAGGAACCGGTACTTGCTTCTTTGCCCCCGGACCCATCCCTACTTGGCTTTCTGGGAGGGAGGCCCCCTGCTTCCGGCAGTCAGCTCCTGGGGTAGTCTCCGAGATCCGTACTGAATTGGGTTATTCTCATGGTCCCCGTAAAGCCTGAAAAACCCTGGGAACCTCATGTCGAGGGTGTTTTCTGAACTGACACAGATCACTGCAGCCGAGAGGAGTCTGCATCTCCTAAACTTTCTGACCCAGAGCAGGTGGAATACCGCATCCGTGGGAATAATTTAGGAACGAGCCCAGGCAGGATTTTACAGACCAAATTTGCACTATATCGTGGTAGGTCCGTTCTAACAGGAAAGAAGAGTTAGCGACCATCAAATTGAGAGGAAAATTATTTACATGTACTGAGCGATGAATTGAGTCTCGAGTGTTAGAATTTTGTAATGGAAACTAGCACATTCTTTTGAAATTTCCCTTGGTAGTTCTCTTAGCAGGATTTTTAAATATTTGTTAAGCATATGGGTCTTAAGTCGACCTTTGGAGAGTGTTTTTGAAATTGATTTAATTGAGTGAGGTTTAAATTTTTTTTACATTTTGAGCCTGTGCTTCCTACCACTTTATTACAGAACAAGAGTAGATGAGATAGCAGGGCCTCCCTTCAATTTGGTTTGTTCCTATTGATTGATTTGTTCACTGAAATTATGTGAAAGTACAGTTCTCGTCTTAAATTAATTTTGAGCTATCAAAGTCAAAACTGGATTGACTGATTCAAAACTGCCTCAATAGATAGAAAATGTCTACTTTTTCAACTGGAGCTGCCTACTTATTTATACTGGTAAAGGATTTTTGTTTGGCTGAAGTTGTGAGTAGATTAGATTTTTTATATGAGCTTAAAACATCAGGTAGTAAATATTTTAACAGTCCAAAAGTTGGTGATCATCCAATGAGAGTTGTCACTGGAAAACATTTTTTAAATTACCAAAGTTAAACACTCATTTATTTTAAAGAGTCAGTCATTCTGCAGTTTTAAAGATAAGCAGTGGTCTCATGCTTGTGCCCCCGCCCATTTCCTTCATTTCAAAGGGCAGCCACTTTTACCTCTTTTAGCTGATTATTTTGGTATTTACCCCCGTATCTTGAAATGATCTAGTAATGTCATGAAGTCCAATGTCATACTTGTAATTTTGGTTAAATGTGAGTTCAACAAAATTATGACTATGAAAATACTGTTCACGGGTGCTCTGTGTATATATGATGGGTTTTTTGTTTTTCCTTCCTGCAAGTTTTTGCTAGGTTAATGTCATCTATGTTTGGTTGTCTCCATTCTTGCCGCTAATTCAACCCCAGATTCTTAGTTAATTGTCCAGATCTTTCCTGTACAAAGTCAGATCATCAGGCATTATAAATTTTCCTGAGGAAGTGTCTCCTAGAGTCCTCTTACAAGCTCAGTCTGGTGCACGGCTGACATTCTTAGATCTGCCTTCACTATCATTTGGGGGACTCCCTTCACCTGATTCTGTGTTGGAGCCTCTTGTTTCCTGGAGTTCATCCTCTTTTTTGGTTTACTCATTTGTTGTAGTGTATTTTCTAATAGTTCCCTGAGATAAAACCTTTTAAGACCTTGCATATCTGATAATTTAATCAAAGGATCCTTTATGTCTGATATGTTTTCATTTCTGTCATTTCTGTCTGTCACTTTTTTATAGTTTCCATCTCCTGAAAATCCCCAACTGTTCATGCATGTTGTCTACCTTTTCCATTAGATCCTTTAACATACTCATCATAGTTATGTACAAGTTCTGTACTTGGACCATATCTGAGTTTGGTTTCGTTTTCTCTTTTATCTCTTGGCAATGCGATCACTTTTTTCAGCAGAGACTGAAATATTTATGCCTTCGAGACAGGCACTCCTCTCTGTTAGACTATTTGGGTTGAGTCACTCTGGTGAGCTGGCTTTGGATTTTGGTGGTGGTGGACTCTTGCCTCCTAATGTTTAGTGTGAAGCCTGTAAGGTTTTTCTCAGTGTTCTAGTATTTCTCAAGCCCTCGATGCCAACTCCACGGATGGAGAGCTTCCTCCATGCCTTTGTCCTTCCCTCAAGGATAGACTGCTGATTGATGTTGGTTACCTGGTGCAAAGCTTGAGATGGGGAAGGAGGGAACTTTTCATTTCTCCTACAACAGCCTCTTCTTAGGCCCCATGTGTCCGATCCTTAG